GCTTCCAGGGCTTCCAGAGGGAAATTAATAGAATTTATAGACCTAAATTTTACAGATACTGGTAAAAAAATAAGGGTTTCATGCATGTTTTAACAGGAATTTGTCCCAAAAAGTTTTTTGACCCTTAATTGAATTGGTTTATGTCCGGAAAAATTTTTTCGCTCCTTTTTTAAATGTGCGGAAAATATTTTTCGACACGCGAATGTAAACAAACAGCTAAAAATAGACCCAATTTGAAGATTTATAACTTTTGAGAAAATTGCTTGCAGACGAGTTTTATTCCTGATTACTTAACTTTAGTAGGTATACTTTCAAATTACATGCCTTTTGAACTTGAGATAGGTGCCACTTTTGAGCTATTTTAAGTAAAATATGAGCAATTTTCAGCCTATGTCGAAAACATAGTTTCGTAAAACTATAAAAAAATCGTATTAAGCAAATAAAGTTGTTCAATCTCCATGAAAACGAGAGTATTAGTGTTAATCCTGCATGTGAACAGTAACTGGAGGGAATAAACGCATCACAACGTTTTTAAAAAATCACATGAATTCTTGTAAAATTCCCCTTCATTTCCGGTCTAAAAATACTCTTGCAAGGTCAAATTTCAACATGGGCTATAACTCCTATAAAACAGCAAGTTGAAACGTTCTGAAAGAAGCTCGATTAATATTGACCAAACCGGCTAGTTCATATGCAAAATATGAGCTAAATCTATTTTTTCTTCCCCAAACCAGTGGGTGGATTTTACTGAGAGGCCCTCTTAAAAGTGTACTTGGAACAGTCGAACAAAGTGGTAAATTTTGTGTGTTGGGCATCATAATTCACAGGAATAGTACATAGTATGGCAAGCCGATTGCTGCAAGCCGATTGTTGCAATTAAAATTCAGCTAATCAATGTATAATTCAACTGTTATATACATTATTCAACCATTCAATTAATTATTCAGCTATTCAATTATTTTATTCAGCTATTCAATTATTTTATTTAGCTATTCAACTATTTTATTCAGCTATTCAACTATTTTATTCAGCTATTCAACTTTTTATTCAGCTATTCAATTATTTTATTCAGCTATTCAACTATTTTATTCGGCTATTCAATTATTTTATTCAGATATTCAACTATTTTATTCAGCCATTTAGCGTGCCACAGATTAAGTATGTGAAGAACAGTGAAGAAGACATTGAAAAGGCAGTGAATTCATGTGTCAAATCTTGCAAGGAGGGTAACATTCAAAACCCTATTGAAATACTCAGATCTGCACAGCAGCACATCGTCCAGGGTAGACCCTTGGATATAAGTTCACCCTCTCAGCCTTCAGAGGGGGAAACAAACTTTATAATCATAAATAGGTATGATGTTTTAATAAGTGCCATTGAAGAAAATAAGGCTATTGAAAATTTAAGATTAAGCTTGGAAGTAAGTTTTTATGGGAAATTGCCGGCGATTCGGGTGGCCCTAGAAAAGAATTTTTTAGGTTATGCATGAGAGAAATCAAAGAAAAATACTTTGATAAGGGGTTGCGTACTCTTTTAGCTGATGAGTACGAGGAAGTGGGAAAAATTATGAGCCTTAGTATTTTGCAGAATGGCTCTTTTTCCCCCTTTTTTGTCAGAGCAAATTGTCTAAGAATTGTTCTTTGCAGAACATCCAAGCCCATGTGTTTCTCATTTGAGAAAGGGATTTTGTAGCCTGGGCCGGTATCAAATTGGCAGAAATTTGACCCTGTTTTTACACTTAATGCGCCCAAGTAATGCCACCAGATTGTCAAGAAGGAAACTAGTTACCCTCCTTCGCCCTTGCTTTTCTGAAGAGGGAGGCAATGCTCGTCGGCATGAGAATGACTTGTACGCACTTTTTTCAAAATCTATAAGAGAAACATCAAGTGGAAGGAGGGCAGAGGTAACACTAGGTCATATTTTACAATTTACAACATGTGCAGATGTAGAGACCCTCCTTGGGTTTCAAATACCACCAACCATTTGCTTTAACTCCACAACCACAAGTAACAAATGGGCATTTCTACCTATTGCAAACACGTGTTCCCAAACACTAATTAACATTCCCACAGGTTCCCATGACATTCCTATTCCCTGTGAAGAAGATCTCTTTGAAATTTATGATTACGCATTCAGATCAGAAATGATTACTTTGGACTCGTATAAGTTGTTCGTGTATGCCAAATGACAATTCAAATGAATTCTTTTAATATTTTAAGCCAATTTTTTGTTGTAAGAATAACTTGCATATCTGTTGTGTTAATTAAAGTTGAATGGGTCATTTCAAAAAACATCCATACCTTTCCCACGGAGGAAATTGGACGTTAAGCCCCCTACCCCCTTCGGATGTCCTAATACATGTTATTAGAAACATTTTTCTCCCCTCCCCTCTCCTCCGGACAGCAGAAATTTCCTCTGTGGGGGGGGGGGGAGTGTGGATTTTTTCTGAAACGACCCAATGTTGTGTTTATCAAAAAGAGTGTAATGCTGTGTGACATCATGTACATTTTCCATGTAATAGGTTAGAGAAACAAGCCTTAATGGGTTTTGACATTGGGGTTGTCCCCTTTGTGGTGTTGGAAAGCTATGGAGTTTAAATACCGCATTAAGTGTTTAATCTTGGGTGTGGTGAGTGTTGACCCCATCTAGTATTAAATTTTTGGAAGACATACAGAGTGCGTGCTGTCCATGTATAGTATATATTAAGTTTATTAGTGAGAAGTCAAACAATTTCTATGCATCTTTTGCTTGAGTAGCCTTCATACAAAATGAAGTCTAATGCTTTAAGTTTGTTCTCCCAGTGTGCCATCACATTTTACATACATGGCATAGCAATAATACTTGAAATTGCACATCGTTTCATTAATTTGACAATAGTAGCTCAAACTATGCACACTATGTTTGAAAAGACTTTTTATAGTTAATTTTCAGACATATGTTACCTACACAGTGTTCTACAGTGTCTTTTTTAGGTATAGTTGCATTTCACTCTCTTTTGCTAGTGGATTTGTCTTGTTACTTTGAAAACTATATGAAAAGGATGCAAATATTTTTCCATCTGCCTGGAAACAAATAACTCAGCACTCCATCACAGGCTGATAATGTGCTTTTATTGCCGAAAAAAATCATACACTATACAACAATACCACAACGCTGCATCATACAGTACATGTACAGTCCCAACTTAATTCGTCTCACTTCCATTCACCTCTGCCCATTGTGCTTATCTTTTTCAAATATAACTAAAAAGATCCCAGTTGAGGCTATATGCATGTATAACGGTGCATTCTGGAATTTGTGCAGTTTGTCTATGAGCTGCCCAAAAAGTAGAGCTGCTTCCGTCGGTTAATTTTCGTAATCGATTAATCGTTGCCAACAATTGACTAGTATCGATTAATCGTATTAATAATTAATTTAAATATGACAAGCCCATGTTGGTTTGACACATTTCTAAATTGTAAATTTGTAACTAAACTTGCACTTCACACAAGAGACAATATTAAATTAACGATTTTTACTTTAGCTTTTTACCTTTGACACTCCTAAGCAATATTGGACGCAAATGGTAATACATTATTCTAATAAAACAAACACTAAAGATATTTTTGCAGCACTGGTAACCCGATCAGACTATGGTAAACTCTAAACGTTGCCAGGGAAATTGTTATTTGACCCGGAATGTTTTGGATCAATTTGTCATTTAATGTTTCAATCACAATTTTTTTTAATCTGGAAAGAAATTAACTCATTCCTGCATCACGCTATGTGGTGTTATAGATGATCCGATTACTGTTTAGCATAATCGATTGTGGAAAAATAATCGATTAATCGGCAGCAGCTCTACCAAAAAGTACATTTGTATGTACAACTGCAAAATATTACATGACATATCTAGGTTGATTGCCTTTGTACTGTTAAATTACGCAGTATCTGGTTACTCACTGTGGAATCTGGCAATCTCATCCACAGAAAAATTTAGTATAAATAAGTTAATAATCGGATTGTTCCAGAAAAGATCTACACTCCCTCCTGGAAGGGGAGGACAATTTGTTTTTGATACTGGTATTAGTTAGTCACTTAGTGTATTCGGATATCCGAACAGGGTAAGGTACTGTATGCCTGGTTGTAACGAATTATGTAAATATGACGTAGAAGTAATTCATGATGTAAATATGACGTAGTGCAAATTAATTCGGTTGCCATAAAAAGGGGCAACCATGTGCTAATATCAGAGAGAGCCATAAAAGCTTGACAAAGAGAAGTGGCACGTGGTAGAAGTGGTCCTTTGGGTGGTGAATTGAAAGTCAAAAGGACTTGATAAGTTGTTGAAGTCGCAAGTAAATGATCTTCGGTGATCGTACTAAAGGGCAGCGAATGGTGGTGTCTTCGATGACAACCAGCGCTCTGATGAATGTGAAGTTCAATGTATGGTAACTCAACCGTGATTTGAAGTTGAGCTTGACCACAGTCAAAGATAACTACAAAAGGCTAGATAGCTGTACACTTATTCGCCGGGAAAGAAGTGCGGAAGTGCCGTGAAATCTTCTCTTCGAACTGGCCCGTATGTATTAGTAGATAAGTTAGAGTTATAAATCGAGTAGGAGGTTTATAACTGATATATTGCCCCCGAGGACGCGTAGCATCCGAGGGCAATATATCAGTTATAAACCGACTTTCGAGGTTTATAACTAACTTATATCACATTTGTGGAGGTTTTCTAACATATTTTGTCATTTTCAAAAATTTTTAATGAAAAATTCTCGCGTTTTGTCTACAAGTTTAATCTAATTATTTATTCAAGGTATATAAGCTAGTTATAAACCTCGGACGATCAAAGAAAACCGACACAAATGTGATATAATTATAGCTATCGTTGTTCAACTCTTTAAACAGTTAAGTAATAAAGTTTTCTTAAAATAAACATTGCTTGTGTGCTGGCGATCACGTCGACGAATTGAGAAAAAATTCGTTTTTTCTGGAATGACCCATTATCAGCTAAGTTAATTCAAAGAAATTAGTTCATTAATTTTAAAGATAACCAGTTCCAGAGCTTCTCTGTATATATCGATCCCAAATTCAGTTGAATTTCGTAGTGGATCAATCCTCTCCAGAACAAAAGCCTCTATTATATGCCTGTCTGCATTCACAACAATGGGCTCAACAATGACAACGTTATTTGATTCCTCTTGAGTAGACGGCCCATCTGGGTCATAACCATAAAATTCAATGTCATCTGGATTTTCATCCAACTCTCCCTGGCTCAGTGGATTGTCGACATGCATCATCCCATTTACCCACATCTGATATGGTGTCCAGTTTCTCTCTGTACGCACTGCATGGTGGTTGAAAGCTTCCATTAATTCTGAAAGAGCTCTGTTGATTCTTGGAATGTATACCAGATGAAGTGTTAACATATGAACTGGATCTTCAGTGTTGAGAATCCCACTTAATTCCATACCATAGAAAACATAGTAAAACAGATGGCAAACGCATCTGTATACATCACGCTATAATCGTTCTATGCGCTGATTATGAGTGGATGGTCCAGCAATAAAGCTCCCTCTTCCCTCTCCTCTTGCTTGTACTATGGCATCACAAACTAAAACGTTTTCAACTCCTTTGTCAACCCGTATTCTAGAGGGCCACCTTTCTCCATCTTTTGATATAGCATCAAGAAATAACTCGAGTACTGTTTCTGCAAGGTTATTGGAACTGCACCTTAAAAACATAATCCTTCTGGAAAAGCCATCAATACAACCATGTACCACTAGTTTCCAACGAATCAAAGAATGGTGGCCATCCAGGTGCCACAATGAGTTTGGCCATGGCACTCTATACACTCTACGTGAAACTGTGATTCCCCATCGTAACACTGTATTCTGTGGATCTACTCTAGCCATTGACTCTCTTATCCGTCTTCTCTGGACTAGTAACCCTTGTGATTTAAGGTAACCATTAATATACACTTGTCCAGTGGTCGTCCCATGGTTGGCAACATACTGTTGTATTATTCTGTCTAATTCCTCATCAGAAATTGCACAGAATCCTGTCATATCTTGCAAGCCATATTCCCTTACCCTTCTCCAAACAGTCCATCGTGATACGCCCAGCATCATCGCAATTTTGGCCCAGGAAAATTTCAGACCACGCAAATCTTCAAGTACTTCTACAGGAATTTTGTAAGGTGGTCTTCCAGGTGTTAACCTCTCTTCTGTAGTCAACGTGAAATCTTGAGCAACTGTTGTCGGATTCAAAGAATTAACAGTTATATAGTGTTGCAATGAATATAATACATCCACAAAAGCTTTTGATAACATTTCTAAGCTCTCATTGTCACCGTTGTCAAGTATTATAGCTTCACTGTGTATTATTGATCTGAGCAAGCTAATCGTTCGATCAACAACAACAATTTGTGCTTCGATCGATGCTTCGTCAAAATCCGCTCTGCAAACCTCATCTGTTCTATCAAGAACAGAGTTACAAAACGTTAATAACTCAGTACCAAGTGCAAAATCAGCCCAATCATCCAATTCGGTTTGAGTGGCCATTTTGAATGCATGCTCACCGGGACTCTGAGCCAAATACGGTTAGCCAAAATCTACCAAAAGGGGCCAAAATACTATTTTTTTCAAAAGAAGCCGAAAAGAAGGCAATTTTGCACGCATGAGAAACGCAACAGTGGAAATCAGCCTTTAGGGGCAGACCATTATTTTCTTAAATATAATCCCTTGCACGATTATTTTTATTTCAATGGTGTACGATTTTTTTCTTTCTTTTTCCCCATTCGCGATTTTTTTGCGGACAATATAGTCCTGCGAAGTTTGCCGTTTTTCAGTCATTTTGTGTTACGCACGGGAAATTGATACCTTTTTAATTTTCAGAAAGCGGTATCAATTTCCTCTTTTGTTGGTTAGTTATTATATTAACATTACAATTGGTTGAATTGTCAAAGATTATCCGATATGATTTTCCTCAGAAATTCACATTAAAATCCTCCATCATTTACCATACAACTAAATTATTTTCCACCATTAAAGCCCATAGAATTTTTAACAATTCCTTGGAAGTGAAAAGAGGCCAAAGCTAAACTTTTTTTTGAGGCCAGATGCCAAAATCGAGTCATTTGGCTTCAAAAAGGCCAATCTACCAACCCTTGGCAGATAGACCCTGGGAGTTTCTGATAGCAGTTCACTGCTGATTGCTGAATAAAATAGTTGAATAGCTGAATAAAATAGTTGAATAGCTGAATAAAATAGTTGAATAGCTGAATAAAATAGTTGAATAGCTGAATAAAATAATTGAATAGCTGAATAAAATAATTGAATAGGTGAATAAAATAGCTGAATAAAATAGTTGAATAGCTGAATAAAATAGTTGAATAGCTGAATAAAATAGTTGAATAGCTGAATAAAATAGTTGAATAGCTGAATAAAATAGTTGAATAGCTGAATAAAATAGTTGAATAGCTGAATAAAATAATTGAATAGCTGAATAAAATAATTGAATAGCTGAATAAAATAGTTGAATAGCTGAATAAAATAATTGAATAGCTGAATAAAATAGTTGAATAGCTGAATAAAATAGTTGAATAGCTGAATAAAATAATTGAATAGCTGAATAAAATAATTGAATAGCTGAATAAAATAGTTGAATAGCTGAATAAAATAATTGAATAGCTGAATAAAATAATTGAATAGCTGAATAAAATAGTTGAATAGCTGAATAAAATAATTGAATAGCTGAATAAAAAGTTGAATAGCTGAATAAAATAATTGAATAGCTGAATAAAATAGTTGAATAGCTGAATAATTAATTGAATGGTTGAATAATGTATATAACAGTTGAATTATACACTGAATAGCTGAATTTTAATTGAATTGAATATTGCAACAATCGGCTTGCCATATGCATG